AAATGCTATATTACATATATATTCAATTTTCCAAATATCTACTTCATTTATCTTTTTTTTCGTTACTATCCATGTACGTAGCTAACATATCTATCATTGTACATGTATTCAATTAACATTCTTCACGTTCCATATGCATGTAAGATTTATACTGTGTGTGACTCATGTATCACTTACAATATTAAAGTTCTTTTTAATAACATGTCCAAATAATATTCGAATATAAGTTTATGAAAACAAAAATTACTTTAAATTTAAATTCAATTAACTTTTATTTGAAGAAAAAGCACATACATATACAGGAAAAGGAGAGGAAAAATAAAAACGATTAATAAATCTTCTTTCAATCTGCTAGGCCATATAAAAGATAAATTTTCCTAGTATGGTTTGTAATATTGAAAAACAATTTTTGCCTTAAGACAAGTTAAAATAAAACAAAATTAAAAAAAAAAGGAAAAAGATTCTTCAAATTAACTAACTTAGCTATTACAGGCATGCTAGCTAGCCAAACCATAATATATACTAAAAGAATTAATAATCAACCAACCAACTTAGAAATTTTAGGAAGATAGTCAGTGGCTTATCCTATTTTTATGTCGTGCTGTGATATGACATTATGATAGTCGTGTGTCGTTATTGTCATCGTATTCAACGCTGTGCTGTCTAATTGAATTTTTCCTTTTTGTTCTTTTTTTTGTTTATTTCTTTAATTTAGAAAAAAAATTTTGTAAATAGTTGTGTTGAGCATTTCTGCAAAAAAAAAAGATATCTATATTTATATACAAATAATATATTTTCTCATATAATTCTGTTAATATAAGCATAATATTTTCAAAAATATAAGTATATAAATTATACAGATGTACCTAGTAAAATAATTTATTAAAAGATGAAAATTTTTGGTTCCCATCACATATAATAATTCTTTAAGAGTTTCTTTCAATATTCCTCTAGCCAGTACTTTTTCTGAGGTAATATCATAATGTATGCATATATATTTCATCATATGGCAATATTTAATATTTTATACTTATGTATCTATTGTAGATATTTTATGCATACGGATGTATCTATTATATATTTAAAAGTTAAATACAAAAATTATAAATCACAGATTTATACACATAAAGTGAAGAATTAATTCTTATGAATTTAAATCTAATATTTTGAGTGTTTAACAATTAATACAATATTTATAAAACACATTATATACACATTATATTACACAAGCTGTGTCTTAGGTCTATATTTTTACTAATATTATACGAAAGCTAAAGCTATCTTTAACGCATGTATATTATATATATATATATATATATAAAATGAAATTATCATTTATAACAACTGTTGATTTTGTTATATATTTGGCGATCTCTACATATTTTTAATGCCCTCAATAATCATAAATTCTTAGCGATTATTTAGTTTCTTGGATTTCAAAAATTTAAAGAGGAACTTAAAAATGTTCATGTATATATGCATATGCATACATAGAAATACTTTATATCCGCTATATTAGGCATAGAAATATTTAAGAAAATTTAAGAAAAACTCATAATTTTTTGGGACATAAAAAATTCACAATACCATTCCATTATAAGTCAAGAATCAAATTCGGTAATGACATTTCAACAAAGCAGTAGTGACAAATTCTGTGCATGACCCATGCTACACACAAAATATCTAATATAATTTTTAGCAAAGGAATGAATTTTTCGAAATCAGTACTTCTTACCAAGAAATTTAGTTAACAGTGTTAATAATAAATTATCATTAAAAGCTATTATACTTAACCAATATTCTTTAGTCTAATTCACTTGCTGCGATAACTCTCTTGAAAATCATTAATATTTATTTCAATATTTTTCACTTAATTACCCTATTATTCGCTACACTTTTTTAGAGTTACGGCTTTTTGCAATAGATAATGTAATTGTATATTAACCGGCCAATTTTTATCACTTAAATGCATATAATTTTAAATCGGTATTTTAAAAGAAAAGCGCTATTTCAAAAAACTTTTAATAATTTTTCCCTTTCGATTTTCATTTCTTTAGGTTATACTGTGTCCCATATAAATTTTGAAGATCTATAAATATATAAGAAAAAAAAAACATAATAATAAAAAAAATGAGCAAAATTAAGATTGAACATAAAAGCAACTAACAGCCAATAATGAACACGGATAAGGAAATTGTCGTTTTGTTGAGCCACATGTATTTTCCGTGTTTCACTTATAGTTTCTCGTAATTTGGTTTTTTTTTTTATATCAGATTTAATTTTTGTTTATTTTATATTATTTTTATTTTCATTTTTTATTCGATTATTTTCGTTTTCTTTCAATGAATTTTTTTTTTTTTGGTTAATTGAAACCCATTAAAGTAATTTTATAGGCGTTAAAGTTGTACTTCAGTACATATTATTACTTGTATCGAAAACAAGTATAAAATTTATAGCTATACTTATTTAACTAAAGTTACATAGACATATATTTTATACATATGTATATAAGTAATGTAATTATGTATGTATATACTTATATACGGCTCGATGTGCAATGTGTTTTCATAGAAATATTATACGATTGAAGATTTTTTAGTACAATTTTAGTTTGTCGCATGGAATTTTATGTACTTTATGTATATCTAGTTATGTCTAGTTGCAAAATGTTAAAATGATCAAAAATATTTCTCTTAAAGAAAAAGAAAACAAAAAAATTATTATTTTTCTTTTAAAGAAATTACATATTTTTTTATTATATAAAGAAATGTTTTAATAAAATTCAACAAACTGAATAATTTGGAATAAATGTGAAATGCAACTACAATAAGATACAAATATATTTTTAACGGATCCAACTTATAGTTTTTGAAATACAACATATTTCTGCACTAACAACCTAAGTTTGGAACACATACTCATATAGCAGATTGTCTATTAGAACATTTTTCTTAATATCCACTTATAAAATATAATTTTGCATAAATTTAGGCGAAATCTTAACATCATTATCAAGTTTATAATAACACACAAAAATATTATTAATAGCCCTGATACCACAATATACTTATCCAATGTTGGAGCAAAATTAGATCGGTTTAAACTCCCAGTTAATTAGAGGGTGCAGTTTGACAAACAGACATTCGTAATGAGTATTTCATGTTCAAAAAAAAAATAAATTTTTATCTTTCCATGTTTCCCACTAAATATAACCTTAATTTTAATTATAACATGCTAGCTACATATAAGATTTTTTTTGGCATATATCCGGGGATACCAAAAATATTATCAAGATATTTACGATACCCTTCTTATTTTTCTATAAATTCAACAGTTAAAATTGAATCTTTGAACATTTCATTACTGTTTTTCAAAAAGCAAAAACCAAAAAAAAAACTAAGAAAAAGAAAACGTTTTTCCATATTACTTACCTCTAATATTATAAAATTGAGTATAGTATAAAAGTTAAATGCGCACATTTAATGGGCTAATAGCTAGCAATCAGTATATTTTTATAACATACGTTTACACATTTATATTATATTAATGTAGGTAATCACAATACTTAAAAGAATATATCTTGTATGTTATTTTAAAAAACACACTATTTATACGAAAATCACTTATTATTGGTATTCTTTTATAATAAATATATATATATATATATATACGTTATATACATATCATGTACATAATATGTAAGTGCATGTATACTTCCACAAATACTTCGTGTATGCATAGTTATAATATACGAGTATTAGCTTTTGTCAGCTATTACAAAGATATGATAGTTACAGCAGCATAATACTCTTAAGTGATTGTTTATAAATGTGTCATGATTTTATCGTGAATTTATTTGAAGATGACTGCTGTTAACTTTTGTTTTTTACATTTATAAATATATATATGTAAATGTTGATAAAAATATGTTTACATACATTCATATACATACATATTAACAATATTTATAGGCAGATAGAAAAATATAAATACACAGTTATACATACATATAAGTTTGTAAATTTTTATTTTTTATAATATTGTGAAGAAGTATTTGAGAAAACATAACATGTGTTAAAAAGTTTTTTTTATATTATTTATAAAAATTTTAGAATTAAATTTTTTATTAATTTTCATTTACATTTTGAATTGAAATAACATTTTACTTAAAATAAAATTTTGTCCTGTAGTCTGCCATTTTATAAATATGCATAAGAACATTTAGCATTTTTTTAAGTTAATAGTGTTACCCTACTTGTAGTGAAATTGTAATGTTGAATAATAATTTGAATTCAAGATTCGACTTACGGTTGAAATCAATTTAAATTTAAATAAAATTAATAAATTTATATAAATATGAACTGAATAATATTAAATATAAAATAAAAATTATTTTTGTATAACAATTTTAATAAATGTTTGAATTTTGGAATAATCATTGATATTGAAATAAACTTTATTCAAAAGACGTTATGGCCATTTAAAACATGAAGAGATTCTTATTATATGCTTAAGCTTAAATTTATTTTTTCCTAATTTTGCTGTTATTTTCCTTTATATTTCTAACACTTTAGTTGCTCGTTTTCAAATCTATTAAAGTTAATGATTTTTGACACACCTACATTATTAAATTTCATAGAACTAAAAAAAATTTTATAATTACAATTATAATCGTGAAAATTTTCTTCAATTATCTGGAACTCAATTTAAGCAAAAAAAAAAAATTGATTTTGTTTTGTGTTAAAATAAATTGCCGCTGACTCTACAATATTTGTAAAACTTTTGACATTTAACAAATTTTTAGAATTTATCTGAATTTTGTAAATATGACATCAATTATTTTTAATGAATTTTACTAACAATTTACTACATAAAAATGTTCTAAATTTTTTTTATGATTAATTATATTAGAAATTATGACAAAAAAAAAAAAATTAATATTATTTGAAGACAAATTGTAGCTCGATCATTTCTCATATTTTTTTATTTTTTTCTTCCAGGCTGTAAATCATTTTTTAAACGATCTGTTAGAAGAAATTTAACATATTCATGTCGGGGCAATAGAAGTTGTCCAATTGATCAGCATCATAGGAATCAATGTCAATATTGTCGATTAAGAAAGTGCCTGAAAATGGGTATGCGACGAGAAGGTAAGATTTTTTATAATTATTTGTCCAATTATTATTTTTTCTTGACAAAAAAAAATCAAATTTGTAAATTTCTAACAGTTGAATAATTCCAAAAAAAAAAAATACAAGTAAATTAAAATTTTTCTTATTTATATTTAATTTTGAATTCAAAATTACTATGGAGCATATAAGATGTGAATATTTCTACTGAAGTCCTTCATCTTATAATTTCTTTTAAGTATCTATTAAATTTCAAACGGCTGTTAATAAACGAATTTAACTTAAAATTGTTTTAAGAAACTCCTAAAAACGAATATGTCAACCAAATTTTTGGCATCCTCAATGAATTTCTAACATCTACATATCACATTTTATGCATTCCAGAGTTATAAAAAATTCGATTTAAAAAATGTGTGTATCTATCATATGTGCCATTATGATAACATTTAACAACTTTAACCTATGCGGTAACACATAGGGGAGCAAAACCAACGTTGACAAAACAGAAAGGGAAAATTGTACTTATTTATCATTAAAGTAAATATATGTATCGGTACATATTATATTATTACCATAAGCAGATAAAAATTTATTAGTTAAATATTTCCTAACGTATAAGTTTATATCCCAGCCTAAATTTGCTCTTATAAGTTCAAGCGTCATGTCAATAATGAAAACGGTTGTATATATTTTCTATGTTATACTTATTTATTTACTTATATAATTTTCTTGTTAAAATGACATTTATTTTTAGCATTTTAAATAGAAACGTGACATTATTTTGCGTATTTTAATTTACTTTTTCGTAACTTAAAACTTTCATTGAAATTTCACCACCCTTACAACAATATTTTTTTTTCAATTAAAAGAAAATATTCATACTCTTTTGTTATGTTTATTTAAATAAAATTTATAATGAAAATTTAATGGAAATATTATTTTTTTCTTATAAATATAATATTTTTGTTTTGATCCTTTTAAAATTGTATGCTAATTATTTTTAAGTATACTCGTACCTTATGTTGCGTTCGTCAATGAATTCACACAAAATGTATGTTATACATTGAAATGTGAAATTTGGTTGTAAGAGGTGTAACGTAAATTACAATATATGGTTCATCTTAAGAATACATACATTATACATTAATGCTTACGCATATTAATTAACTATTTTTCTTATCTTTTAAAACCGCAAGATTTTAATTGCCATTGTATACATGTGTTAGTTATACATATAACATTTGATTTGTTATATTGTATAATAATTTAAATGTATTATACCAAGTCGGTGTTTCATTTTTTATATAAATGTTGTATATAATTTTAAATATTATTTATTGGAACATTTATTTTAAACAAACTCTGACTAGAAAAAAATTGTTTTTTTTTAATTGTTTGATTTAAAAAGTGATATTATATAATTATTATATTGCATATTACTAGTATATATATTATAATATTATTGTTCGGTCTTTTTAAGTGATCCTTCTAAAAGCGCTAAAATTTTTCGCCTAGTCTGTTATAACTTCACTGTTACAAATCTAATTCATTTTCATTTTTTCGAATTTAAAATTATTTTAAATTAAGAAGGTCTTCGCATATTAAAATTGAATTCCTTTAAGTTTTTATTTTAATAATTTCAATATCGTAATTATATATCAATTTACAAAAAAAATGTTTCCATTATTATTCACACTATATATTGCGGTTTTGATGACATATAGAGCACTTACTAGAATATAAATTTTATTCATTAAAAATATTGCAAGGCCCTTAAGACTTTCTACCGTGAATATTATTTTCAAGGTTTACATTTACTCTTAGTTACAGATTCTTACAAACAAAAAATTACAAAAGGTTTATACGCTTATTCTTGTAGATCTATGTATGGTACACTTAAGGTATAAAATTTAACAAAAGAAAAACTATTAAATCTTTAAATAAACAAATAAAAAAAAAAAAAAAAAAAAATTAAAAATATACTGTTACCTTTATTAATTTGCATATGAAAGAAGACAAAATCATTATTTTCTTACTCTTCTACTACTATACCGTATAAATTAAAATTCAACGGAGATGTGAAAAGAAAAAAAAACAGCAAAAAAAAAATTTTAGATATCATGTAAGAAGTTTAAGAAATGTTCGAAATAAAGACGCTTATTTACATACAGATATTGAAAAATAAGAACAATCAAAATAGAAATTTTAAAAAAGGATATAAGAATTTTCTGAAAAAAAGTTTTTACTTGAATATTATAAAGGATAGAATCAGGAGAAAAAAAAAACAAACATATTATAAGAAAATTGTGAGATGCAATTATTATTGTTGGCATTATAATTTAACCTTATAAACATCTTATAGCATCAGGTATAGATTACCACAAATACCAGAATGGGATATATAAAAGAAAAAATGTTTTCTTTTCTAAAAAGATTTTGGTAAGGATTTTAAAAGGATCTTTAACTTTTAAAAACGAAATAATCGAGATATTGTATAAGAAGTAAAATAGAAAGAAGGGTTGAGAATCTTAAAATTGCAAATTACAATAAGGAGAAGATTTGAGATATAATTAAATTTACCATAAAAAGTATAAGATTCTTATAATTAATTTTTTTTTTATTTTCATATTATTCAACACATTATAATCGAACACACTCATCAAATAGATTTAAGTGATTATGTTGTCCATCGTTATTATTCAAGAAAAAAAAAGGATATTGATATAAAAAACATATATGATATAATTTTATCTTTCAATAGAAAGGCATAAGATATCAAAATATTTATAACATTGCTATATAAATAGACAAAAATTTATTTATTTTCGAGAATTAAGATCATAGATATCTTACTCAATTATTGATGTTTCAACGCTCTAATTAAAAATAGCATCTATGTATGTATGTACATGTAAATAAATATGCTCTTGATTAAATTACATTCAAAATTTTTTATAATTGTATTAAAAATATATTATTTTTGGTTGTAGCTTCCATTATTAAAAAAAGGATAATGAATTTTAATTCAATTAAAATTCAAGTTATGACATTATTTTCTATTTAATAGCAAGTGTTAATATATAGTCTCAAAGTTAGTAATATACAAAACTGATATTTGAAAACGCGACAATGAAAGTCTTGATAATTCTCGAAAAATAAAGTACTTTAAAAATAGTATAGGAATATTATCTTGAATTTTATATTAATTAAATTTAACTATCAAATTCAGTTTTATAACTTTTATTTTATAATTTAGACAACTCTTTGAAATTATCTGGTTTATTTCGAAATGTTTTGAGAATACCATATAGTCTATTGATAATTTAATACGAGTATACATACAGTTATAATTTTCACTTAATTTAACAATGTAAATATAATATTTTTGAAAGTATGCTTTATACACAAACAAAGTTCAACTATAAAACAATAACAATATATAGAAAGGTACCTTTAAGTTTAAAGAATCAAACAATTAAGCAGTAAATTTTCCAATTTTTTCTTTATTTCATATAATGTGCAATACCTGTTGCAGACTTCTTTGGAAAATTCTATACCAATATTTATAGCATATTTATATTATATGATAAGCAAAAAAGAAAAAATTATATACAATATAAAAGAATTATAATTTCAATGGTAATATTTCTTTTATTTTTTTAAAAATGCAAGTACAAAAGCAATAAAAGTTTAAAAAACTAAACAACCAAAAAAAAAACACAAAATTCGAGAAAAGGTATTGAAATCAATGGTTTTTAAGAGCATTTGTGTACCCTGGAGTGATTGTATGAAAAATTATTATTATTGTTGGTGAAAGAGTGGTAAATTGATCTGGTCGTTTTTTTTTTTTGTTATTTTAAAAAAATGTTTTTATTATTTTTTTCAATACAATTGAATTTTTAATATTGAATTTATGTTCAATAAAAATCTTCTTCATTTTTTAAATTTTTTTATTCTTTATTTTATTTTTCTTTAGTAAAATAAATGAAATAAAAAAAAATTATAGTTATCCCCGTCTACCACTTATTAGCTAATATAATTTTTTTCAACCATAAAAGATATTTGATCATATTACTTATTCGACTAAGAATTTTGAAAAAGTTTGGAACTTGTTCTTTTGCTTAATATTTAAAATAATTTCCAATTGTCTAAAATTTTCATATTTCACACCGTTGTTATTAATAATTCTATATAAGAATCTTATGTTGTAAATGGAAGTTCAGTTTTAATATTTCAATTTTTTTAGATTACATAAAAAAAAAAAAATTACAAAAATTACTGGCATATTTGGCATTGGTTTACCCAATGGGGGTTTTGTATTCTTAGGTTTTTATTTTGTGTTCTGATGACAAGCGGCTCAATATCAATAAATAATCCAATATACAATGAAATTATTTTTGAAGAATTGAATTTTTTATTATTTTCTTACTCATGTTTAGGTACCCATACAATATCTGGTAAATTTTTTTTGTATGCAATGATAAAACATACGTATTATTTAAGAATATGTACAATTCGAACACACGTTCAATTCGTATTGAAAACTCGATTCATTGATATACATAAATATTTTTTTTAAATTTTTTAAATTTTAAAAAACAGTATCTTCCACGAAAGAAATATTTTACTTTGCTCGATTCTGTTGAATTTGCGAACGAAAAATCCCCAAATAGTACATAACTGCTCTCAATAATTATTAACAAAATAAATCATTGCCACTTCACAACTTCGATTTTCAATTTTAATAATATTAAAGATCACTTTCTTTTTACTCTTATGAAACCGCTATTTTCTATTTACAATTAACCGGAGATGGGATATTCATTATAAAAATTACCACAGTGTTATGATCCTTTCATTATTTATCCTTTTTACTTTTTAATAACTTTAAAGGACATTATTGCAAACGACAATTTTTAAATACTTTTTTTAAGGGATTTAAATTATTAATTCAGGTATCAGATTTTATCTGGTTTGTTTATAGATTAAAATTATAAAAGATATAGATATAAAAAAAAGAA